GCCAGTGGGCTAATGTTGGACTGGCCCTACCTGCCCATCCCCCTCAGAATCCACCCACACATTTGCCGATGGATAGGGCTACATTGCCTGGCCTGACCAACACTGAGGCGTGAATCACATTGTCACCAGTGGGAGTTACAACCCATTAGGGGAGTTGCACAAGTTCTCCCACCAGGCCCACTCCCAGACCCAGATCTTGCATGTGCTAGTGGTTCTAGGCCGTTACCCAACAGTCTGCCTGCTCCGTCCTGGCTTTTGTATGAGCAGGTGGATGTTGTGGCCCGGCCTACCCCACATCCAGTTCTTGGGTATGCCTGCAGGTGCTGCAGGCTGGACCAGTCTGGCCTGTTTGCAACACCAGTACACATGAGTGTTGGAGGGTTCCATGGTATGCCGAGGTCAGCCCATCACCACCTCCAGCTCTTTAGCAAACCAGTGGAAGTTGCATTTCCACAGGGTGGGCCTACGTACACCCAACCGAATCTGCCCCCAGACCTGGTTCTCTCATGCCCTGGCTAGTGTCCTGGCCAAGCCTAACATTAGCCGTCCCCTGTTCCAACACTCACCGGCTGGTACTGTGGTTTAGCCCTGCCAGGTAGGCCACCAGCCCTAGCTTTTGTGTGCACTGGTGGGTGGTGGTCAGTGATGGTCAATGCTAACCAGTCCAGCTCAGGTCTTCCACTTTGCGGGTGAATTGGTCTGACCCAGAAAGGTCCTCTGGCTCCCCCTGTCCAAACAGCTCAGTCTCAGCCCCCTCACTTACCTGCAAGTTCAGTGGCCTTGTTGGTGGAAATGCTTCACCCTGGCTGATGGTTCTCCGTTTAAATGTGCCCATACCCCGTTGTGCCATCTTGTTTCTCTGAGGTCTGTGTTCTGATCAGGTCTGGATTTGATACCTGATTCCAGATCTTGCCTCTAACTTCCTGTCAGTGCAGGCTACAGGGAGACGCAGGTGGAGCCCCTGGGTCCTGGTTCCAGCCTGTACTAGCTTCGAAGTAAAGCAGCAGTTGGGAGCTTTCTCTGTCCCTGTCACTTAAATAAAAAAAAAAAACATAACCTCCCATCCAATATTTTCAATTAAGATATTTCCACATAAAATTTTGCTTTTTTGTATTATAAAAAACTGTATTTTATATGGCTTCCATACTTTGTGTAATTGTTGCAATTCAGAAGAAAAGTCCTAAGAACTAGATCCCTGTGGCTTAATATCTTAGAGTTAATTCCCATGGTTTGACAGTTACCTCAAACATTGCTCTACAGGAAAGACAGGGCTGATTCCTTGAAAGTCTTTGCTCACAGTATTTCATGAACAACTAACACATGACCAAATTTTAGGTATGTTTTTATTTAAATACAGCTGATTATATATACATATATTTATATAAAACAAATCACTACATCCAGTGTTTGTTCGTGAGAAAACAGTTTCAATTATATGCTTATGAAATGAACTGTCATGGATTGTACGAGTTTAATTCATATACCAGGACTCATGTATACAACTCCCACAAACACAGATTGGTCTACAGTACAGAAGTACAGATTAAGTGAGCTTGGAAGAAACATTAAGCAAAAGATTATAGCTTTAAGGTTTCAGAGAAACATGGAGCTGCAGGATGAATGCAGTCACTGGAACTTGGGGAGCCTCCCACCCTTGCTTTGTCCCGGCCAGTCAGGTCCAGGTAGCGGTCACTCTGCAGAAGGGGCAGCTGTCGGTGAAGGCGGCGTGTTGTCACCAGTGTCCGCGCCCCCTCAGATGTGCTAGAAAAATTGCTTTGGCCTTGTCTGGATTCTCATCTCAAATCGTCAAGTGTGTCAGAGTGAGGGAGAAAAGCAGTGGCAGCCAGGCGCCTGAATGGGGGGCGGCACCCAAGCACGGGTCACATTCTTCCGTGTCATCAAACATTTTTTTCCAAGGCAAAATTCCATTCTGATATTTTGGCTGCTGTGAGGAACAATTCTTGGAATGTTTGGTGGCTGTCACGCTGTCCTTTCCCCACCATCTGTGTTGCGTTTTGCCATCTTGTCCAGATCTCGGCTCGTAGGTTCTGCTGTCTTTTCTGCCAGGATTTCCTCCTTTCTGCCAGTGGAATCTTCACGTGTTTGTTTATTTGCTCTGCAGCACAGATGAGGTTCTTCTCTGCTGTTCCTTATATTCTCTTTAACACCTTCAGGGTCTCTGAGCCGCTCGCGTGCTCTGGCCAGTCACGCTGCCGGCTGCCCAGTGCGGCCCCATGCCCTCACCATGCGCAGCAGCGCTGAGCAGTGGCTACCTCACCAGCCCTGGGACTCAGCCGTGCTGGCCAGTGTGCCTTGAAAGCTTCTGTGGGCTGCTCGAGGAGCTGGATGACAGACAGTTCTTCGTGGCAGAGAACTGGGGTATCACCTGAAATTAATAAAACTCTGAAGACAAAGTTTTTCCTCTGGACAAAGCATTTAACTTCTGGGTTGAAGCAGTTGATGGCACCAGCCCTAGAGTATCTGTCTGCATCCATTTCTCCTTGTTCCACATCCAATGGACTAGTAAAACAATTGCGGCTTTTCACCATAAAAGCTTGTGGGTTTGGGGCTCTGAACACCATGAGAGGTCTACTCGAGGTCGCCCTGCAGGGTTGTCTGTGGAGGCCGCTGGCATGACACCGGTTCGTTTGCCAACGTTCTTGTCGAACAGCCTGGTCTTCAACATAACCCTTTTTATGTATATCACCCAGCAGGTTTTCCAAAGATTCTTCTGCAGCCTCAGAAAATTCTCTGCAGCACTGCCCTGGCTTGCAAGTTTCAACTTTTCATGCTGGACCATCTTGCAGACCATGGCAGCCGAGAAGGGTGTCACGTGTCCCTGATGCTGGGTGATGTGGCTCTCTCTTTGTAGCTGCTCGTGGTCTCATGAACCCACGAGCTGTTTCTGCATCTTCCCCGTAGCTTGCTCATGCACTGCAGATGTTAGCGCAGTACTTCCTGCAGCAGCTCACCCGCAGTGCATGCCTCTTGCGGGTGTTACCTCACAGTTGATTCATTGAGGTGAACCTGTGGCCCACAGCACGGTAACTCACGCTCACATGGAGTGCATCTTACACACCTTTCCTCTGTAAGGCATATCACAGTTTCCTTGTGCTTGGGAACTCTATAATACTTGAGCGCTGTGCCTGGAGATCATGACCCACAAAACTGAGAAGCACACGCACTCGATACCCTCAGAAAAGAATACTGTTGAGGCTGAGAAGTGAGCTCAACAGGCCGTGGTGGTGTTCAGTCCCATGGGAGGGAAGGTGCATTTAGGCTAACTCTGGGGCAGGTCACCAACATGGCCGCTCTGGAGTAGTCTCTGCAAAAGCAGCCCAGCGTGGATGCAGCTGGGGTAAGGGGTGCAATGAGTGCGATGGAAGTGAGTTGCCGAAAGATTCTTTTAAATTAGTTTGTACAATTTTTAGTTGGAGAACAGGTTTTCCCTCTATTTTGTTTGGATTCAATTGGGTAAATAATAATAAAAAAAATGTTACTTTAATCTTGAAATGTTCTCGCCGCCGGCCGGCGGCATAGCCTAGTGGCTAAAGTCCTCACCTTGAACGCCCTGGGATTCCATATGGGCGCCGGTTCTAATCCTGGCAGCTCCACTTCCCATCCAGCTCCCTGCTTGTGGCCTGGGAAAGCAGTCGAGGACGGCCCAGAGCCTTAGGACCCTGCACCCACGTGGGAGACCAGGAATAGGTTCCTGGATCCTGGCTTCGGACTGGTGCAGCGCTGGCAGTTGGGGTCACTTGGAGAGTGAACCATTGGACGGAAGATCTTCCTCTGTCTCTCCTCCTCTCTGTACATCTGACTTTGTAATGAAAAATAAATAAATCTTAAAAAAAAAAAAACCAAGAAATGTTATTATCAGGATGTCAGAAACTACCTCACGACGGTGAGTCCAGCAGGAGCTGCGCAGCCGACCCGACAGGGCTTCGGCCGCTTGGGCTTTGCTGCTCCACCCAAGTCCCATGGGCCCGGGATGTGAGGGAGGCCTGTGCGCACCGCGCCCCAGAACGAAGCAGCCCCGCTGAATCCCGCCCGCCGTCAATCAGCACCCACGTTTTTGGTGGGTCATGGGAACCGCAAGAGTGGCTCAGTGCAATGACGTGCTTTCCCCCTGCTGGCTAGGAGGTCCCTCCAAAAACGTCTCGAATATTCTCAAACGCCGGAATTCTGGGATGCTTCCCCCGTAAAGAAGGAAGAAATCTCAACACTTGATGTATTGGAGGTAGTGGCTGCTCAGGAGGAGTTCTCCTTCCTCGAGAAATGGCCCGCGGTTTACAGTCTCTCCGCGGGCGGGGTGATCGCGGCCTGGTCCCGCATGGGCGGCCTCAGCCCTCGGGGAGAGCGGGACGGGGAGGCCGGGGCCGCGGAGGACGGGGACGGGGACGGGGACGCGGAGGACGGGGAAGCCGGGGACGGGGAGGCCGGGGCCGCGGAGGACGGGGACGGGGACGGGGACGCGGAGGACGGGGACGCGGAGGACGGGGAAGCCGGGGACGGGGAGGCCGGGGCCGCGGAGGACGGGGACGGGGACGGGGACGGGGACGCGGAGGACGGGGAAGCCGGAGACGGGGAGGCCGGGGCCGCGGAGGACGGAGACGGGGAGGACGGAGACGGGGAGGACGGGGAGGCCGGGGACGGGGAGGACGGGGAGGCCGGGGACGGAGAGGCCGGGGACGGGGAGGACGGGGACGCGGAGGACGAGGAGGCCGGGGACGGGGAGGACGGGGAGGACGGGGCCGCGGAGGACGAGGAGGCCGGGGACGGGGAGGACAGGGACAGGAACGCCCGGCCGGGAAGGCCGCGGGGCCGGCGGCGTCGGTGGGCGGAGCGCGGCCCAGCAGGGGCGCGGCCTGATGCGTCACTTCCGGCCTCGGGCTGTCTTCCTGGTGCGGGAAGGCCGAGGTTGGTGAACCCCGAGGAGGGGAGCGGGTGAGGCGCGGGCGGCTGCGGGGCGCGGCTTTAGCGCCCTGTCTGTGTTGCAGGTCTACCCGGAGCCTCGGAGCGAGAGCGAGTGCCTGAGCAACATCCGCGAGTTCCTGCGCGGCTGCGGGGCCTCCCTGCGCCTGGAGGTGAGCGTGGGGGGCCGGGCCGTGACCGAGACCGGGTAACGGACCCTGGGCGCGGGGCCTGGGGGATGCGGGGCCGGGGCGCCCTGGCGCGGGGCCTCGGGGATGCGGGGTGCGTGGGCCGGGATGCGTAACGACCCCCGGGGCGCCCTGGGCGTGGGGCCTGGGGACGTGGGGGCGAGTGTGTAACGGACCCCCCCGGGGCGCGGGGCCTGGGGGATGCGGGGCCGGGGCGCCCTGGCGCGAGGGCTGGGGGATGCGGGGTGCGTGGGCCGGGATGCGTAACGACCCCCGGGACGCCCTGGCGCGGGGCCTGGGGATGTGGGGTGCCGGGGCTCCCTGGTCTTGGGGCCTGGGGGATGCCGGGGGACCCGACGCCCTGGCGCGAGGGCTGGGGGATGCGGGTGCGTAACGGACCCCTGCGGGGCTCGGAGCTTCCTCCCGGGGCCGGTGACACCGAGTTCACCAGGCGGCTCTAGGGGCTCCCTCCTGAGGTTCAGGTTAGTGGACCTAGGATAACCAGCATGTGGGCGCGTGTTCCCCTCACGTCCTGTCACTGTGCAGGCGTGGCTTCATCTTTTCCTTGTTTGTGCGTGGGGGTGTCTCCACCTGCACCTTTGTTGGTTTTTGGGGGGTGTGCAGGAAGGCGGGCCCACTCAGGTGGCACCCCGTGTGGGGCCGGGGAGCGGTGCTCAGGAGCTCTGGTGGGAAGGTGGTTGCTTCTGTGGGGACAGCGCACGGCGGGTGTGCCGGCGACTCTGCTGCCCCTGTGAGGTCTTAGGCGGGTTGGAAAGCACCTTGTAAAAGAGAAGCGATGGTTCAGAGGTTACGGTTACTGTTTCCTGTAAGCATTGTTATTATTTTGTAAGGAAACCTTAGATAATGTTGCTTTTAGCAGGTCCCAAGCATCCAGAGCGTGTTGGCCAGAGCACAGCCCTGGAGGGACAGCTGGAACCCTTGAGTAGCTTGGAGTTGTAATTGATAATTCCCTTTTAAAGAGAAAAGTCAGTTCTGGCACGCTCTGTGCGATTGTTAGAGCGTCTGTAACAGTGGGTTTAGAAGGCAGCAGAGTGTGTCTGAGCCCCCTGAGAGGTGCCGACAGTTTCAGCACATGGGGTGCGGGGGCCAGGCCAGAGTCAGGAGGGGCTGCGTGAGGCAGCCGCGGGAGGGAAGTGTCCCACCGTTCTGGGGAGAGAGCTGAGATGTTTGGAGGTGAGAAACATAAGATTGAGAACTGATTGTTTAAATTGTAGATTAATTTTTGCTGTGTAGTTATGCGTGTTCGGATGCCACGGTTGCTTCAGATGCCTCTGTGTTTGTAGCAAACAGTGTTTGTTGCGTATGTTTTCTTACAATGGCTTAAGTTTTGGGGGCATTTCTCTAAGGAATAGACGACCTGGACTTCATAGTTATTGTATAAGCTATTGGTTTTGAAAATTATGTATGCACACACGTATGTATGTATGTGCATGTACATACGTCCATGCATATGCGAGCGTGCACATGTGCACGTGCATGCCTGTATATGCATACATGCACATATGGTATACGTGCATGTATGTACATACGTGCATATATAGACACACATGTATGTGTATGCATGTGTACAGCACACGTATGTATGTGTGTATGTGCATACGTGCATGTGTGTGTATGTATGTATATTTTGAAAGGAAGGGCCTCTGGGGAGCTGGCCTGGCCCTCCTGAGGTGTGGGCAGCACTGGCACTGCCTCCCAGGCTGTCAGCAGGGCGGGGGCTGGGACCCGACCCGCACACTGCTGTGAGGTGCCTCAGTGCCATCCTGCCGCCCGCCTCTGTGGTAGGGCACCTGACTCAGCTGGAGACACCGGCCGTCCGCCCCCAGGAACTCTGATGGTGCAGGGAGTTTGAGAAATCAGTTTAAAAGGAGCGTTACCCCGTTCACATCTGATTTTAAGTCCCAAGAAGCACTGTAGTTTTAAGTTGAAAAAAATCTTTACGTTTGAAAAATAAAATTAAAATCTGGACAGTTGGTTGTCTAAAAGCAGCGCCTACAACTTAGATGGCGCTCGGTTCCCTCGAGCGTTTCCTTTCCTTCGCGTGTATCTTGGTGTATGTGGGCTTTGTGGTTTGCTTGTGGCACAGCAGTGCCCACGTCTGTCCAGTTTTATTTAAGGAAAAGTGCCTGAGGCGAGCTGGCTGATAGGACCTTGTCTTCACACTGCTGCAGGCTGGGCCCTGGGGGACCTTGTCTTCACACTGCTGCAGGCTGGGCCCTGGGGGACTGGGAGGACCTTGTCTTCACACTGCTGCAGGCTGGGCCCTGGGCCCTGGGGGACCTTGTCTTCACACTGCTGCAGGCTGGGCCCTGGGGGACCTTGTCTTCACACTGCTGCAGGCTGGGCCCTGGGGGACCTTGTCTTCACACTGCTGCAGGCTGGGCCCTGGGGGACCTTGTCTTCACACTGCTGCAGGCTGGGCCCTGGGCCCTGGGGGACCTTGTCTTCACACTGCTGCAGGCTGGGCCCTGGGGGACCTTGTCTTCACACTGCTGCAGGCTGGGCCCTGGGGGACCTTGTCTTCACACTGCTGCAGGCTGGGCCCTGGGGCCCTGGGGGACCTTGTCTTCACACTGCTGCAGGCTGGTCCCCTGGAGGACCTTGTCTTCACACTGCTGCAGGCTGGGCCCCTGGAGGACCTTGTCTTCACACTGCTGCAGGCTGGGCCCCTGGGGGACCTTGTCTTCACACTGCTGCAGGCTGGGCCCTGGGGGACTGGGAGGACCTTGTCTTCACACTGCTGCAGGCTGGGCCCTGGGGGACTGGGAGGACCTTGCTTTTCTGGTCTCTTGCTCTTTGATCCAACTTCTGCAGCTCCTGCGTTCAGGTGCTCCTGGCTTGCTTCAGCCTCCAGGCTTTTCTCACTTGGTACCCAGCTACCCCACAGCAGGTGAGCAAGTCACACCTGTCACACGTTTGTCAGCCAAGAAACCAGTTCATCCTAGATCAGGTAAATTACCACCGAAATTACCATTGGATGGAAGCATATGTAAGCGTTGATACAGCTCTGTTTGAAAGCGTCCTCATCTTTGCAACGTGATGGCCGTTTGTCCCGAGTTTGAGGGTAACAGGAAGGGTGCTCTCCAGCTCGCCGGCCTGCTTGGAGGTTAGGAGAGCCGTCCTCTGTGCCCTCCCCCCAGATTCGTTGGTTTCCTGGAATAATTGTCAAAAGCAGATGGAGTCAGCCATTCTTGAAGGCAAGAGAGGAGGCTTGTACATGACCTGGAGGGCCAGTTGGGACCTGAATTTAATGTGTTTTTTTCTTTTTAAAGACTTTTTTATTTGTTTATTTAAGATTTATTTATTTTTTACTTGAAAGACAGATTTTTAAAGAGGAAGTAAGGAAAGAAAGATCCTTGTCCACTGATTCACTCCCCAGTGCCTGTAATGGCAGAGCTGAGCTGATCTGAAGCCAGGTGCCAGGAGCCTCTTCTGGGTCTCCCACGGGGGTGCAGGGTCCCAAGGCTTTGGACCGTCCTCGACTGCTTTCCCAGGCCACAAGCAGGGAGCTGGATGGGAAGTGGAGCTGCTGGGATTAGAACCAGCACCTGTATGGGATCTCAGCGTGTATGAGGTGAGGATCTAGCCACTGGGCCATCCTGCCAGACACCTGAATTTAATGTTAATGAGGCTTTTCTGCTTGAGTGTGGAGTGTGGACTTCGACACAGCAGCTCAGAGGATGTCCCACACTGCGTCCCACACAGCTCCGTACACAGTCCCACAGAATGCTCCACTCAGAGTTCCACACAGTGTCCCACAGTCTCAGAGTCCCACAAGGCGTCCCACGGGTGCGGTCTCAGAGTCCCACAAGGCGTCCCACGGGTGCGGTCTCAGAGTCCCACAAGGCGTCCCCATGCGGTCACAGAGTACCACAGTGTCCCACGAGGCGCCCCCCATGGCCTCTGTCAAAGGCAGGCCGAACATTCCAGCTGGCAGGGAGCTGTGAGCTGGAGCCTGGTGCAGAAGCACGTGTCGGCCCCGCAGACGGGAATCCTCGTGGAATTGATCTTCCCAGCAACTTGGCACACTAGCTCGACGGAAGCGATAATTTTCAGAATTGCTTTTTGTTTATTTAACTGTTGTGCTGGAATGTGGCAATGGGCCAGAGCCCCAGGTGGCTCGGAACAGCTCTGCTGCTCTCCCGCCCTGACTCGGGGAGGCTGGGTTAATTTTTTTGTCTTCCGGTTCACTAGAGAATGAAATGTAGGCCAATAATCCCCATTCATATGAAGTGTATTAATTGGTGAGTAATTATCGGGTACAGTGTGTTGTGACACGGGAACACATCGTGAAGGATTTGGTCAAGCTAATTAATATAATCAGCCCATCACATGCGTTGCTACTTGCAACAGTTTTGAGATAATAGTAGCTGCGTCCTTGTCCTGTGAGATAATAGTAGCTGCGTCCTTGTTCTGTGCACCAGGTCCCTGCGACCTCCTTCCAGGGAGCTGCATGCCGGGTGCCTCTGGGCGTGTGCCTCGCTGTGTGTCTGTGCTGTCACGGCTTTCTCTGGCTTGTTTTGCCGACGTCCAGGTTGTTTCAGATGGCGGATTGCCTTCCCTTGGCGAGGTGGCCTGCGTCTCCGGGCCTGGGTCAGTGCTGCAGTATGTGCGGCTGGCTGGAGGGTAGGATGACTGGGTCACGTGGTCATTTTATTTTTAAGGTTTACAGATTTGTGTCTGTGTGTGAATGGCGTCGTGATAGGGAGGGAGGGAGAGACGAGAGAAGTTGATTCTCCGTGCTCTGGTTCACTTCCCAGTGGGCTGCAGCAGCTGGGACTGGTCCAGCGCAAGGCCGGGAGCCAGAATCCCACTGGGGAGGCAGGAGCCCACGTCCTCGGGGGTGTCACCGTGGATTACCTGGGATGCAAATGGGAATGTTGGTGTGGGATGTTCCTGTGACACAGTACTGGCCCTATTTTTAATTTTTTTTTTAAAGTTTATTTTTCTTGGAAAGGCAGATT